CCATATTTATTATTATTATTATAAATTACCAAAATAAACAGAGTTACCAATCGATCTTATTGAGAGAAGAGGAGATAGAGAATTAACGTCGTCAAGTTATTCTAAAAGTTTTCTTATTTTAAAACCATGCAATTTCTTAATTTTTATTAAATTAACTGAAGTAATTTAACATAAGGCATAACTATGTTTTAAATGACACAAGTTATTTTTATAAAAAATTTAACTTATGATAACTTAGATGAGTTTTAATTTTGAGGATTCAAGCCCATTTATATACAAGTGTAATACATTTATATATGGAATTTATTAAAGAGGAGAATGAAATATCCAATAATGAAAAAAAAAAAACACAGAAGAAGAAGAAGAAGAAGAAGAAGAAGAAGGAACAAAAAAAGATCACAGGTCACGACACAAACACAACACATATTGTGGAATACAAACAATTGCATTGCACCTATTAAGCTGCCAACCGTAGGGGAGTCGCATCATATGACTTACCTGCCCACTTGACTCTCACATAACCAGCCCCACACTCTCCTCCTCCGTCTTTGTGGGCCCCAATGTACAACAAGCTCAGCTTATTATTGCGAGCGTGGCGGCGCGTGCTCATTAACTCGAGCCAAATATCCATCCCTCTTTTTCTCTCTCTCTATATATATATACAGTTATATACATACATTTATGATTTGAAATTGTATTTGTTTTTTATTTGGGAAGATAAATTGTATTTATTCCATGTAAAAGATTTTACAGCTGTGAGTCACGCCACCGCCCTATCACGGGCTCCTAGCTCCTCATGCCATATTTGAAAAGTTTCAAAAAGTTATTCTTCTGCTTGGATCTCCATTAAACTTTATATTAATAATTTTTTACCCTATCTAACTTTATAAATTTATATGTCGGTATAGAGATTGAAACAATAACTTGTTAGTTTGAATTCGATAATCAATTAGCTTAATAAATTAGTTAGTTTAATAAATTAGTTATAAATTTGTTCGATTCAATTTGAATATGATCTGTTGACAAGTCTAATACTAACATAAAAATAAATAAAAATTCATATTATTCTCGTTATAATGAATGGAATTAGTAATTTGACATTTGGAATGAGAAGTTTGTTGTTTTTGTTAGAAGAAATTTTTATTTTATTCTAATAATCCATGATGTATTTAAAGATTAAATCAGAATCACATTTTAAATATATATATATATATATATATATATATATTGACAGGTCTAATACCAACATAAAAATAAATAAAAATTCATCTTATTCTCGTTATAATGAATGGAATTGGTAATTTGACATTTGGAATGAGAAGTTTGTTGTTTTTGTTAGAAGAAATTTTTATTTTATTCTAATAATCCATGATGTATTTAAAGATTAAATCAGATATATTATTTTATTTTTCAGTGCTGGTCGAAGGCGATTGTAAATCAGTTCAGCTTCTTATCCCTTCAGACTATGAAGCACGGACACTCTTCCTAGGGATCTCGCACCGATGTTGGACACTTTTCGGATACAGACATGCTTGTCCGAGGCCCGGACACGTGTCCGACACTTTTGTGAAGTGTCCAAAAATTATTTTTTATTGGATACGGTGTGGACATGGCTCGGACACGCGGGGGACACGGTTCGGACACGACGGGGTATATTTTGTATTTTTTTTTTAAAGATAAATGGGATAACTAATGTAATTTTTTAGAAGTTTAAAAGTAAAATTTTGAAAAAATAAAATAACAACTACAGACAAGAGTACTACACAATAAATTTATTTTGTCTCACTTCCTCTCTCAATCTCTCCTCTTCTTTAATTATCTCTGTACATGAACAAAATATATATATTTTTTATTTTTAAAATTACATGAACAGGGCTTTGTGAAAGACTGAAAGTATATATATTTATTCATGCACATATTTAGCCCATTATAATTATGTCTCTTCTGCATATCTTCGTTTAGAATTTGGATCAACTTTATTTTTTCATTTATTTTTTATTTTGTCTAATCTATGTTTTTCTTATAACAAAGATGAAATTATTAAAATTGGTCATGTTATTTGTTGTTATTTTATTTGCAATTTTATATTTATATATACACCTGTTTGTTATTAAAAAAATGAATGTGCAAGATTCTAGTAATTATATTTTGAATATATATATATATATATATATATATATATATATATTATTTTATAGGCGTATCCTCACCGAATCCGTGTTCTATTTTTTTGAAATTTGCCATGTCGCCGTATCCGTGTCGTGTCTTACCCGTATTTCGTATCAGTATCCGTGCTTTATAGCCTTCAGAGGCTTCTATGTTGATGATTTTTTAGGACATTTCATTTCTTCTCTTGGCTTGCCCAGGCTCTTCATTAGCTTGGACTCCTCGTACAGGAAATAAGGTGGCTCATTTAATTGGTAAAAAAGCTCTTGTAACTGAATGTGGTGATGTGGAGTGGAGCATATGACCCCTGTAATTGTTAGATGCTTTCTCCCAAATTCTGTTTCTTCTCCTTTGGTTTAATCTATGAGTGTTGTTTTGATAAAAAAAAAGGAAAAGAAGATATACGTAGAAAAGATATGAAAGAATATAATATGGTAAGTAGTCCATGTATGGATTATGTGTTTATTAAAATATTCCCAAAAGTCCACAACACATAGTGTATTTGATTATTATTATTATTTTTAATAAATTTTATTTTGGAAGGGTATTTGATTGAGTAGGTGTATTGTCTATCTTCCATTTTAACCCAATTGAATCAGTATGTGCTATTATATTTGCATTGATAATACCATGGGATACAATTAAGAGTTTATTATAAGCATGATCGGCGGTCACGTGGTATAAGTTGTGGTGTAACGAATTCGAACGAATATCAGTGTAAATTGATCAAATTAATGATGTAAATTGATCGAATTAATTAATTCATGAAAGTGTGTAAATCCTTAAAAAATGATTATGAACCAACCCGAAACGTCACATATCAACCGTTATAGCGAATTATGATTACAAGTAATCATAAGTGACAAAGATGCTAGAAAATAATTGAATAACAAACCTTTTTAAACAATATGTTGCCCTTTTTCAATTATGAAGCTTTTTTTTAATCTTTCTCAATTTTTATTTTTATTTATTTTTGCTATAATAGTTGCGAATTGTCTAAATTTATTTCATAGGTTCAACTTTAAATTTAAATGTTATTGGGCTATATTTGGTTATATGAAATTAGAGTCTTGAAATTTAAAAAAACAACTCAAAAAATTGAATTAAAATTTTCTCCAATTCTATTTTTAAAGGTGAAATTCCAAATAACCAAACATGTTTTGAGAGCTTTTTGAACAATTGGTTCTTAGTAAATTATTCATCAAAATTTTAAATTTCCTTTTATTAATAAAATTTTTTATTTTTATTTTTAGGGAAGTTAAACAACTTTCAATTATTTATTGAAGTTAAGAAAAAATAGAAAAATAGGGACGTCAAAAAGCTACCCACGCCAGTCATCTTTATCGAGGTCAACAAATTCACCCTCACGCTTATAACCTAAATATTAAAATCTTTTACCAATAAAGTTAATAATCCTTAAATAATCCTGTGTCCATTATTTATAATGGAAGTATTACATTAATTAATGTGATAAAATGTTTTATTTTCAATGGACTTATACCTTTTATTAAGAACTATGAATATTCATGTTACATATTAAATACACTTAATTGATAGTAATTGAATAATTATTTAATTTGTTCACGTACTAAATTGAGTAATTAAATATCATCTAAGATAATACTATAGTTATAAATTCATATGTAGTGAAATAAATTGATTGAGTTTATGAAGCAACCTAAATTCATCCTAAATTCACTTAAATGAGAAATTACTATTAGACCAAACCAACTGTGGACCGATCTGTTGAATTTACATTAAATTAGCCGACTTGAATTGGTTGGTATGGAGCCGAAAATCAGCCGATTTAGACAATCTTTTTAAATGTTATTTCGGTTTTAAAAATAGATAATTATTTATAGCCGAACATATTAATTTTGTGTTATAACCAGTACTATAAGGACATATCTGTCATGTTGCACACCTAAGGCATGACATAACATCCTAATAACTCCAAATTTGTTTAAGTTTCTATATGTAGTAAAATAAAAAAATCAAACCGAAAAATAATAAATACACTCCACTTATTAAAAAATGCACTTTTTTTTATTTATTTATATTTTTTAAAATTAAGTGAAATAAATACCCTTTAAACTTGATTTTCATTAATTTCTCACATTAAAAATAAAATAAATTATAACAAAAATCATTACTTGATTTGTAACTTTAAAAATAATTCTTAAGAAGAGAGAACTATAAAAGACAATTATTTGAAAACATACATTTTTGTAACTGAGTTTAAAAAAATAATTTTCGAAAAACTGAACAAAACAGCATACCTATATTTTCCAAATAATAACAAACTGTACCCTAAATTCATAATTTTCCAAATAATAACAAACTGTACCCTAAATTCATAATGAAATTGGATCAAAACCGAACTAATTCATTCTTGATCGAAAATTCGTTGTAGTACAATAAATTATTAAATAATTAAGAATTAATTCAATTCAGACTCTCGTAATTAGTAAATAATTCACAAAATAATATTAATATATTACAAAACAAGATTACGTCCTCCAAAACTATATTGCATTTTCAATTTAAACCGTTGTAATATTACATCCTCAAAAAGTGTGTTGGGTCAGCATTTAAATCAATGTTGTAGAAGAAAATTTCCCCCAAATTCTTTAAATTTCATGCCTCCATTTTAGCAACTTGATTTTCTTCGCCAAAAAATCAGCCAATTTTTATCTTACACGTGAGTCACAGATGTAATCTGAACCGAGCCCAATTATCTGTAGTCCCAAGAAAACCAAACACCCTCTTAAAGAATTTACACACAGTACAGTGTTTGTACACATCCCCTCTCTCTCTCTCTCTCTCATCTCTCTATCTCTCTCTCTCTCTCTCTCTCTCTCTCATCTCTCTATCTCTCTCTCACCTATCTCAACTCCCAAACAAAAACCTCACATAGGAACAAGGAAAAACCTTTCACGGACTCGTATAAATTTTACAAATTTCTGAGTAAGATAGAGATACAGAGAGATATAGAGATAGAGATATAGAGAGATATAGAGATAGAGATATAGAGAGATATAGAGATATAGAGATAGAGATAGAGATGGAGAGAGAAGATTCTGTGTGTAGAATGTAAACAACCCACAATTAATAGACTATCTTCCATTTATCCATCACGGACTACTATAAAACAACATGTGTTCAATACTGTCCCTCCTCTATAAATCAAACTAATACTTTACACACACACACCAACCCATTTCATACATTTTTCTCTCCTCTCACAGGCCATCACAAAAAAATGGCCTCAAGCTCTGTTCAAAACAGAGCATGCTCTGTTCTCATACTCTGCTTCCTGTTCTTGAGCTCAATTCAAGTAAATTTGGCGCAGAATAGGCCGGTTTTCGCCTGCGACGTCGATAACAATCCCGGGTTGGCCAATTTCAGCTTCTGCGATGTGTCGAAGCCGGTTGGGGATAGAGTGGGTGACTTGGTGCAGAGGCTGACATTGGCTGAGAAAATTGGGTTCTTGGTAAATAAAGCAGGAAGTGTGAGTCGGCTCGGGATTCCCAGCTACGAGTGGTGGTCGGAGGCGTTGCACGGAGTGTCTTATGTTGGTCCGGGGACGCATTTCTCTTCTGTTGTTCCTGGAGCTACTAGCTTCCCGATGCCGATTACCACCGGGGCTTCCTTCAACGTTTCGCTCTTCGAAACCATTGGAAAGGTAAGGATTTTGTTCGGTTAATGCTGATGTTTTGGTTCGTTTTCGTAGTAGAAATCGCTCTGCTAGCATTCTCGGTTTGAATTTTTGTTCTGAATAGCATTGTCCTTTTGGTAATTGATTTGTGTTCCATCCAACATTTGATCTGTTATACGATGATGTTTCTGTCATTCTGTGAGAAAATTGGGTTTTTTTTTGGGAATTGGGTGTTTGAATTCGAATGCAGGTTTTGAATTGGAGTGAAACAAGAAGATCCTATTCTCTGTGTGTGTTTGAGTGTCTTTATATATATATATATATATATGGGCTTCAATACACTAATGGGCTGCAATTATATTTTCATTCCGTGATCGATTTTGGATTCTTTTGGTAGTCGTTTCTTTGTTGACCAACTCGACTGACAGAGGAAACGAAAATGTGTTTTTATTGTAAATGGTTTGATTTTAGGTAAAACTGGATTTTGGGAAATGGGTCTTTGATTTTGAATGTAGGTTTGAAAGGAGATTGTCTCTCTCTCTCTCTCTCTCTCTATATATATATATATAATGCAGAAGCACACATATTTGGTTAAATTACAGTAATGGGTTGGAATCACATCTTCATTCTGTGATTGATTTTGGATTCTTTTGATAAATGTGAATGAAAGCCAAAAAGAAAATGTGTTTTTATCATAGAGTTCATGGATTCGATTTAGATAGAGAGAATGAGTTTGATGGTAGGGGTCTCTAGTTGATATTTTGTTTAGATTTGAAGTTTTTATTGGATTTGACAATTTCATGCTGTTGTTGTTGTTATGATTTTGACTTGAAGATAGAATTCTGGGTATAGTTATGAACATTTTTAGGGTACTTTTGGTGCAAATATTGTGCATTCCATCATACAATTTGTGTTTTTTGTTGAAAAATTAGACGCGTTTTCTTCCTATATGGTACCACATTAAGACTAATGTCACCATCACTTTTCTTTCTCTGGACCTTCTTTTCAAATTGTTGGTTGTCCCATTTAGCAGACGGCACAACTTGTTTCTGGTCTTTAATTGATATTCTTATTTATTTATCTATTTTTATTTTTATTTTTATTTTTATTTTTTATTTTTTTTTTTAAGATTTGAAGTTTATTGGACTTGCCGATTTCATTTTGTTGTTGTTGTTAACTTGTTATGACTTAGATTGGTATTTTGTTTTAATTGATGGATTGAAGATAGGTATCCGGGCAAAGTTTCACAAACATTTACGAATGTGTATGGTTATAAACACTTTTGAGGGTATTTTTGGTGCAAATATTGTGCATTTCCATCATACAAAAGTTATGTATTGTTTTGAAATCACACTTTTTCTTCCTAAACGATGCCACCTAAAAATACAGATCAAATGTATATAGACTAATGTCATCACCACTTTTATGTCTCTCTCATGACCCTTGTTTTCAAATTGTTGGTTGTGTCATTTAGCAAATGACACAACTTGTGTCTGGTCTAGGTGTTAACCACTATTTCTTCCTTTGATGTCGTCTCACGGACGCTAACATTGATTGGTAAAAAAGAGAAAAAGATCACTTACATATACATACCTTGAGAATATATGATAATGTCTGTGACATGATTAAAAACTACTATGTATGGTTGTCTTTTTCTGAAAAGGAGGTGGAGCCAATGTTAATGGGGTATCGAAATTTCATGAGCTATTTCATCATCTTTTTTGACATGATAGAGATCTTCTTTGTGTGAACATATTTGTGGAGGATCTGATTATGACTTGTGAACCACAGTAGGTAAGCTTTTTATTTGTTTCAGCTTTGAATAGTAGTATTCAAGTACATGAGCATTGTTTGGAAGAGACCATCTAGATGAGGACTTTAATGGGATTCCAGCTTGCAAATTTTGTGTGTGTGTGTGTGTGTGTGTGTGTGAGAGTGAGAGAGAGAGAGAGAGAGAGAGAGAGAGAGAGAGTTTGACTGTCATTGCGTGGGAGAAGAACTTAATGTATTAGCTGGAAACACTTAAATGTGTAAGCCAGACTTTCAATTGAACAAGAAACAAAATATTCAGATAGAATTTAAAATTTAGACTATAACTTACTAGGGACCAATAAAAAATAAAAAAAAAATTTGGTTTTAATTTTTTTGCTTATTTTTCTTTCCCATTTATTCAAGAAATATGATTTTAACCCATGCTTTGTCAATTACATTTACCTATTTCAATAACATTTCTCTGATGCTGTGTGTGTGTTAGAGGGCAACAACCTCATTGTATTAAAGAATGGTGTCCTACATGATTTACCAGACAATCTGATAGAATAGGGCATCAAGTTTAATGTACTAGTTTAAGAATGACCGGTTTTTTGGTTGACGTTTGTCTTTAAAATGGCGATTATAGGTCAAATAAAAAGATAATTTTTATGTATGCAGGTGGTTTCAACTGAAGCTAGGGCAATGTACAATGTTGGTTTAGCCGGTTTGACCTTTTGGTCCCCGAACATCAACATAGTGAGAGACCCCAGATGGGGCAGAACCCAAGAAACTCCAGGGGAAGACCCATTGCTGACGAGCAAATATGGCTCCGCTTATGTTAGAGGTTTACAACAAAGAGATGATGGTAACAAAGACTGTCTTAAGGTCGCGGCTTGCTGTAAGCATTACACAGCATATGATATCGATAATTGGAAGGGGGTTGATCGGTACCATTTCAATGCTGTGGTACTTCACACATAAACCATATTTTCAATTTTTGTCTTGTATTATTTTTCAAAATTTTTTGAATGTCAATACATAAATTGTTTTTCTTTGTTTTGGTTGAGTTAGGTAACAAAGCAAGATATGGATGACACATTTCAGCCCCCATTCAAGAGCTGTGTTCTTGATGGGAATGTGGCCAGTGTCATGTGTTCCTACAACCAAGTTAATGGCATACCAACCTGTGCTGACCCGAAACTCCTGGCAGGAGTCATTCGAGGCGAATGGAAATTGAATGGGTAAATCATTTAAGCTCAATAATTATTAATGTTACTATCTTCATTTTTATCCAAGTTATTAAATTTGATCGTTATATGTACACGAATATTTGATGCTGCAGATACATAGTTTCGGATTGTGATTCTTTGGATGTGTATTTCAAATCCCAACACTACACCAAAACACCCGAGGAGGCTGCAGCCTTGGCTATATTGGCAGGTGACCTCATTTCCACCCTAAGATTGTGACAATCTGAATATTTAATTCTGTAATTTGCTGTCAAATATCGGATTAGTTGTACCAACTAAACAGATTTGTTGTTCCTTGACTTATGTGAGAGTTGATCGTCTGACTTACCTGCATTTGGTAACACCTAGATCAATATCTCATGTCCAACAAATAAATTAATGAACTTCATCCAAATCCGTTAATTTTTTCTCTAAAGAAAATCAGTACAAAAATAAATTTCTTATACATTTTCTCTTTCTGATTTCTAAACCAAAGTTTACTAACTGTTTGAATCCAACAGGGTTGGATCTCAACTGTGGATCCTTCCTAGGCCAATACACTGCAGGTGCAGTTAAAGGCGGATTGGTGAAGGAGTCGGACATTGATAGGGCTATCTCCAACAATTTTGCAACATTGATGCGACTTGGGTTTTTTGATGGTAACCCAAGCAAGCACCTATATGGGAATCTAGGTCCGAAGGATGTGTGCACCCCGGCCAACCAGGAGTTAGCTCGTGAAGCAGCAAGGCAAGGGACTGTGCTGCTCAAGAACACTCCGGGATCACTTCCTCTATCTCCCACTGCTATCAAGTCCTTAGCAGTAATTGGACCTAATGCCAATGTCACAAAAACCATGATTGGCAACTATGAAGGTACTTTTAACATTGCTGCAAAAACTTAGCTATGTTACTAAAAATTGGTTGTAATGAGCTCAGATCATTTGTAAATGGTTTTGGATACTTGCAGGCACTCCATGCAAATATACAACGCCCTTGCAAGGCCTCACAGCCTCGGTTGCAACTACCTATGCGCCTGGCTGTGCCAATGTAGGTTGCAGCGTAGCACAAGTGGATGATGCTAAGAAGCTAGCAGCCTCAGCTGATGCTACTGTTTTAGTAATGGGCACCGATCAATCTATAGAAGCAGAGAGCCGCGACAGGATTGATCTTACTCTTCCAGGACAGCAACAACTTTTGATCACAGCAGTTGCAAATGTATCTAAAGGACCTGTGATTCTTGTAATTATGTCAGGAGGTGGCATGGATATACAATTCGCGAAAGATAATCCCAAAATAACAAGCATTCTTTGGGTTGGTTTCCCTGGCGAAGCCGGTGGAGCTGCCATGGCTGATGTGATCTTCGGGTATTTCAATCCAGGTAAGTCTTCAGTAGTCTCTTTCATTGTCAAAAAATTATAGGAATTTTTTGAAGTTCCAAAGTGCTTTTGAACTCACTTTCCAGAACTAAATTATATCAAACATATGATTGTCAATAATTCTTATAAAAAAAATATGAAGTGGTTCTAGTAGATTTACAATGATATATAACACAATCATTGTTGAATGTGAAACTCATTATTGTCTCTCTTTGCAGGTGGAAGACTACCAATGTCATGGTATCCACAATCCTATGCAGACAAGATCCCCATGACAAACATGAACATGAGACCGGACCCTGCCACGGGATACCCTGGTAGAACCTATCGTTTCTACACCGGGCCAACTGTTTATACATTTGGGGATGGACTAAGTTACTCTATTTTCAACCACCACCTAGTTCAAGCACCTAAGCTAGTCTCAGTTCCCCTGGAAGAAGGTCACGTTTGTCGCTCATCAACGTGCAAGTCCATTGATGTTGTTGAACAAACTTGTCAAAACCTGGCCTTTAACATCCACATGAGAGTCAAGAACATGGGGAAAACAAGCGGAAGCCACACGGTTTTCTTGTTCTCTACTCCCCCTGCTGTGCACAATTCACCTCAGAAGCACTTGTTGAGTTTCGAGAAGGTCTTTGTGAATGCAGCGTCAGAAGCTTCAGTGAGGTTTACGGTGGATGTTTGCAAGGACTTGAGCGTTGTGGATGAGCTGGGGAACCGGAAAGTCGCCTTGGGACAACATACACTTCATATAGGAGACTTGAAACACTCATTGAATGTGAGGATTTGAAATAGGGTTTTCAAGTTCTCATAGCCATTCTTTTCTCTTTTAGTTTTTTTGGAAGAAAGAAGAGAAAAAAGGTGTCACAAATTAGGAAATTGAACAGCAAATAATTTGAGGGAGTTGTAACAATTTTCTCTAGTCAATAATTTTCTCTAGTCAATTGTTCAAAATCAATTTCTTGAAATGGAAAGGAAGTTTTTTCCCTTGAAAAATCTTTTTCCTAATATTCTCAACTTGTTCTATGTTACTTCTTATGTTATTTTCAACTTTTTGTTGAGCATCATTGCACATAGGTAACATTTTATAAGGTTGGTGTTACTTTGTGAAGAAGATAATCTAATGCTAGTTCATGTCTGCTTTGGTATATCACTAACTTTTTTATTTTCCCATTTATGAATTCCACTAGTTGACAAAATTGGTAACAAATTTAAAGGATTTTCTCAACAGAGAAACCATTTACTTCCCCTAACTTTAAATCAATTCTTTTATATTCCAGTGAGACCAAAAAAATATGCAATACACTTCAGTGAAAGCATATCTGCAACATTACATTCTCACAAGAAAATTAATGTCTTACACTACAACAATATTTTTTTGGAATTCTATTGAGCCACAAAAAACAAATTTTATTATTACACTTTTTCGTTCACAGTTCGGTCTAATTGTTGAACATGAGACTCAGTCGGTCTGTTAATCGAAGAGAATTTTATATGGACAAAGTCGGTCCAAAGAGAATCAGCCGATATTTGGAAGTATCAAATGTGGATTGAAAGAAATCATAGAAATTTCGCAAGAAATTCTTCTAGTTCTGAGAACTCTGTTCTTACTAGAGTATAAGACTCCATTACACAGGAGGCAGAATTTTCTTTTGGAATAACGGTCCTTTGTATGTCATAAGTGGGCCAATAAGTCTGGGCTTGCTTTTGATGATGATATGTTGTAGTGGGGGCTCTAATATAAGCCTTTGTTTTGTTCTTTGGGCCACTCTTAGGCCCAGCCTATTTATGAACTTAGGAGTCGACTTTATATGTGAGTACTAATGATATCATCATTATAATAAGGTATTAATGAAACCCCCACTCACATAAATTAGATAAAATTATTTGACTTTCGGACTTTAAATTATTATCATACATATAAATTTGATTGGACAAAAACTTTGAGATGGTCAAAAACTCTAATTTTCATGAGTTTAAAAATTCAAAGTAAAAGACTGAATTTAGATTCCGATTGCTTAATTATAAATCAATTTGATAGACATTAAAATGTCAAATGTCAAACAACTTTACATATGTTTTCGAAAATTAAATAAAAAATCTTCTATATAAAAGAAGGAAAGTAGCTCTTGAGAAATTTAAAATGACGAAGAGATGGAGTATATTATTTTAGAATACGATAACTGTGTTACTTCACGGATAAGATGGAGGAATTGGATTACTACCCCAAATATATTGTGCCCCCTTCACATAAAATTCAGGCTCTATCCCTGTTCATAGATGCTTCAGGGGTGCCTAATACCTACCTTTGGTATAATCGAACCTCTGATTTCATGAATCTCGATAAACGTAAACTTACATGGTGCACAATAAAAGAGCCTTTTTAAAAATAATTTTTGAAAAAACTTCAAAATTCAGGTTTTGTAAATAATTTATTCAATGGTGACCTAACACACTTATATCTAATATTAGGTGGCAACTTTATAAAAATGTATATAACGCATTACCAAAATCATTTTTGTCAGCATTAGCCATTAAGTTGTTTTATTTCAAACATCAACAAAATAATCTTTAGAATACTGTGGGTCAAAAACAGGTGCCAACAAGTATATTCAACCATATTCTTGTGCGCATGTAGGACTTTTTTTTTTTTTTTTTGGGGCAAATTACACTAACCTTTCTAGAGGTTTGCATAAATTACACATGGATAGAGCGTTTAGCCTTTCTTACTCTGACCTCCTCTTAAAGTGTGAAATGCCTTTAATAACTGTATCTACTTTAATAATAGTTTAATAAAAAATTTGTCAAACCAAAAAGAATCTAATACCCCTTTTTTCTGCCTTCTTGTAAACACTACAGTACCTTATATATATATACACATATATATATACAGTAGTGGTCAATTGGTCCCCGGTGAGTAGGGACCAATATACTCACTTTTACTCATAGTCTTAGGATCTAATCCAACGATTACTGGAGAAAATAATTATTTTAGGAAATTAATATTATTTTAATTAGCCATTAATTATGAAATAATTATATTGGATACATTCTTAAAGAAACAAAAAATATTTGACCATGAATTGCTATCATCCCACCGCCACTGTCACCTTTCCCTCGCCACCACCTCCCCTACCACACCACTTCCACCACCACCTACACCACACCACCTCCACCCAGACAGATTTGATGGCTGCTTTTGACTAAGAATTACCAAATCTACAAATTAATTGGTGTTCTTATAATTTTTGGTGTTTGTGGTAGTGGTGGGTGGCAGTATGGTGGTGATGGAGGTGGCAGTGTTGTGGTGTGGTTTGGGGGAGGTGGTTGTGGCAGTGGGGGAGGAGGTGGGTGGTGGTGACAGACTGACAGTAGTGGAAAGGGGCATAGTTAAAGTTTAATCAGATTAAAAAAAGTATTATTATTATTATTTTAAAAAAGTATCAAATATAGTTATTTCATAATTAATGGCTAATTAAAAGAAAGACAACTACTTAAAATAACTATTGTTTCAATTAGCTGTAGGATTAGATCCTAAAACTATGAGTAAAAGTGAGTATATTGCTCCTTACTCACCAGGAAGCAACTGAGCACTACTATATATATATAAAGAAACCTAATCAAACCTCTAAAAAAAACCTAATCAAATGTCATTAACCAAAAAAAAAAAAAAAAAAATTATTTTTGTAAAATTTAATAATATGAAAATTGATATTTTGCAGTTCAATGGAATTTTCATACTATTTTTGTCATTTTAGGTTAAAATATAAGATTATTGAGGTATTTTTGTGAGATATATTTTGTAATTGGCTCATTTCGTTGTCAAAACAAGTCCAATCGAGTTGTAATTCAAAATTTTGAAGATTAAAGATCGGATGTGATTTTGAAGAAGTTCAAGTGTTCATAATATACTACCCTCCGAGTTGATGAGAACGATGCTCTAAGAAGTTGTGAAAGGTAGTGAGAACATTTAGGAAGGGTTTTGAAAGGATCGGAATAAGTTTTTACATTTTGTCTATCTTGAACTGATTTAAGATTTATTGAACAGATTCAACATCATCAAAATTGCTAAACTTTCAAGACTGGCCATCTTGAATCGGTTTAAGAGAGCTGATCCAGTTCAAGAATTCGTGGGATTCTCTACTGGACATCTTGAATCTCAAAAAGTCTTGGATGCATTAGGTTTTTAAGTTTCCTTCTTCTGATGTTTCCTTTTTGATCCCAATTTCTTTCCAAGTCCTATGCACGAAATTTATCATATTTTCTGAGGGATTAGGACTTTCACAATTCTATATAAACCATGTCATATATATTGGTTAAAAGACGGCTTTAGGGAAAATTAATTCTATATTTTGAGAAAGCCTTTTAGAGAGAGAAAATTCAGAAAATCAAATCTGATTATTCTGAATTTAATTTTGAGAGCGCACATATATATTCATGAGTGATTTAATTGTGTTGTTCTCTATCTTATCGGAATTGGAGCTATATTAAAGATTCAGAGATTTTGAATGATCAACAGGATTTAATTTTTCTACAATCGAGTTCAAATCTTGAAGAAGAGAAGAAAACACAATCACACTTTGAAAGGGTTGGAGCATTCGTGGAGTGTTGTCTGATCTACCTGCTACTCTTCTACAAATATCAAATGTAAGTCTGAGGTTAAGTTGCAGTTGGACTGGGAGTCGCAAAACCAAAGGATCATTAGCAGTTGGTGTGGTGTAGAACGATGTGAGCCAGAGTTAAGGTTCGGTATACTTTGTTTCAAGCATAGTGGATTGGTTTACTTTGGAACGCATAGTCCATGAGGTTTTTCCTATAACAGTTGACATATTTTATCAACTGGGGTTTCCTCGCTAAAATCCTGGTGCAATCTCTCTAACTTTAACTTGCTTTACTTTTCATATATTTGTTATTGTGGATGTTTAAATTGATCATATAATTTAATTAATCATAAATTGAGCAAGTTGACCTAATAATCAGATTTAGGTCATTAAAGGAGTTAATCACAATTAAAATCAACTAACTGTTTCCACACCCGGCATAGTTCTTGTTTCACAATTTGGTATCAGAGTGGGTAACTCGATATACTGAGTTGATCATATTTGTTGATTAATTGTTGATTTTTGCATCATGTCTGAAAATTCTTCTGTTGGTGTGTTATCTTTACCTTCTGTTTTTAATTCTGTCACAAGCATGTAAATTGAGTGGTCTAAATTTAAAAAGGATTTTGAAAATCTATTAGAGAAACTGAATCTTGCGGAACTTGATAGAGATATTTATAAGCAAATTCTTTAAAGTTTCTAATAAGAATTTGAAAGAAATTGGCCATAAAAATTTGAATCTTCTTCGTAAGATTGATTTTCTGGAAAAGGAACTTAAGAAGGTAAATTTGTTTAAGAAATCACTGAAACTTAAAATTGAGAATTTGAGTAGTGAATTTGTTAAATCAAAACAGTCTGTTCAGAAAGTTGATATTGACACTTGCAAAATTGATAAGTTAAAAAGAGTGGTTGAGAATGTTATGAGTAATAAAGATTTGGCATCAACTTTAAAGAATTTGTATTTTAAAAAATCAAAAGATATTTTTGTGGAAGTTGAAACCAAACCTTGTGTTGTTTCTAATTCTCCTAAACTAATTTCAACACGTCATTTTTGTGGTTATAGACACTAAAATTTTAGTAGGCTTTGGTGTTAACAAATGGACCCATTAAATATGGGCCTAATGTTTAATTAAGTTATTTAATTGGCCCAAGTTTGGTCCACTTAAATTATTTAATTAGCCCAACCCAGATGGTTAAATAAAAAGATAATTATTCCTAATAAAATATATTTGGAATAATTATCTTTAAGGATAATTATCATAATATAACCGGCCCGGCCCAATTATAATTTTATCCTTATCAGGAGATGACACGTGTCATCATCTGATCAATCCAAGAAGCCTATAAATAGAGGCCTAGAGGAAGGGAGAAGGGGGACAAAAATTCAGAGTCCAAAAATCCAGAGACTC